TATAATACCAAGCACTAAATTTCTGAACCTGCACTGGTCATCGTGGAATTTAATCATTTCTAATATAGCATTAAGATTACATTTTTTCCAATGACAAATAAAATGCATAAAAGTATGACAATGGGAGCAGAGCAGTTTAGCTATAATAGACTTATTGTATATGATGCAAAATGAATAGATAAAACAACTGCATAGAAGAACCAGTTCTTTTTTTCCCCTGTAATTTAGTCACAGTGTTACAAATGTGAATCTTTTTTATAGAGCTGCGTCTGTGTGATCAATTCTTAAAACAGGCAGACGTTCTTGCAAATATAGGCACTGGTGGTGTGCATCACTCTAAGTGGGCTTGCTTTTGTGTTGTGCAGCTATTTTCAAATTTGAGGTGACAGCAGTCTTCCCTCGCTGTCCTTTAAATCCTCAGCTGATCACTTCTGCAGTGCCTGTTCCAGAGCACAGATATTGAGTTTACATTTAGGCGCAGTTCATTAGATGAAGTGATATCTGTCTGTTTAACAACTGTGAAGTAATCTGAGTATCCTACTCTTGTTCTGTGTTTATTGCAGGCTTTAGGGGGACTTTCATATCAATCCCTTTACCAAAGAATCCTCTCTGCAGCCTCATCTGCTCAGGCTCAGATAACCTGTTTTGCTGCTGCAGGGACTGTTTTCATTACAGGAATCCCCTCCGTTGTTATTGGTGTCATGGCTGCGGCTGCAGGTAACCTCTCACACCATCACATTAAATAAGATGACTGTCTTTTACACTGTGATGCAAAGACCAAGGTACACTATGAAGCATGACACGGTTTTGCTTCATTCCTAAATTCCTAAGATAATAAAGTTGTAAAAAAAATAAATAAAAAAAACATATTGTATTCCCATGACATGTTTGTCCACAGGCATCTAAAACCAGATATTTACATACACTGTTTAAATAGACATAAACCTTTTTGCTCTGTCTGATATTAAATCAAAATCAATTTTTCACACCACCTGTCAGTTAGGATTCCCTTAGTAATTTCTTTCTAAATTTTAGTAAAATAAAAAAAGTTTCTTAACATACCATACCATACTGACTTTATTATTTGAAGCACTTTATGCACCGGACAGGACCAAAGTGCTGTACACAATCATAAAATATAATAAAATTATAAAATAGAAAGAAACCGAGTGTAAAATACATATTAGTATACAAAGAGAATAAAACAAAGTAAAACTTCTCAAATTGTGCCAAAAGCCTAAGAAAAAAGATGAGTCTTAAGAAGGGACTTAAAAACAGCAAGAGAAGAGGCATATCTTATGCTCAGAGGCAGATCATTCCAGCTGAGCTTGCATTTTGTCTTTGGGACTCTCAGAAGCAACTGATCAGCTGACCTGAGGGAACGGGAGGGTGTGTAAAAATGCAACAGCTCAGACAGATAAGGAGGGGAAAGGCCATTAAGAGTTTTAAAAACAAAGAAAATAATTTTAAGAATTTACTGGCATTCTCCCTTTAACTTAGACTGGATAAGCATTTTCTATCTAAGGAAACCTAACAGTTTGCATCAAGGCACAAATTTCAATCCTCCTGGATGAACATGTATGTAATACCTGTCCAAAGTAGCTGGCATTGTGTTGTTAAATCTGCAACAATCCCACATTCTAATCATACATATAGTGACAGTGGGGAGGAAACTACCATTTAACAGGAAGAAACCTCCACAGAAAAACCAGGGTCAAAGTGAACGGCCTTCTCCTCAGAAGGGGGGTCAGAACAGACACACAACAGTAACACAGATGCAATTATCAGAAACTTTCTATGTGAGAGAAAAGTGGGAGGTTAGTTGCAGTAGTAGCTACTCTAGTGGCTTAATCTAAAAGTGAAACATGGCTAGGCAGATGAACTCTGAGTCAGTGTTCAAGTCTGTGAGATAAAAAGAATACATAAATTTAAAGCCCGGCCAATAGCTCCTATCTGAATAGCTAGTCCCAGTGGCGCTGGTTAAGTGGAGAGGTTAGTTGGCCATGGGGCTCTTGCACCACCCTGTCTCCCAATAGCTGCATGAACATTCACATGTAAACCTGATATACACTTTTAATCACAAAAATGAGCCCCTCTGGGAGTTTATTGGGACTTGTTATTGAGACGTTCTCCATATTGTGTTCATCCCTTGTGCACAACACAGAAAAAAGACAAATCAACAAATACATGCCCCATCCTGGTGTAACTGAGTAACGTAATTGCTTTGAATTCTGACAAGATATAGAGCAGACTGGTAAGGCATAGAAAAGTGGGTAGGGATAAAATCAGTAGCTGTTTCATTCTTCATAACACAGGATTAACAAATGAGCTACCAATAAACCAACTAACCTACAGTAAGACATAAACGTTTTTCTTTTATTTCAGGCTGGACAGTAAGAAAATTAAAAATATATAAAGTGTTTCCATACAGTGTATGAAAATATCTTGTTTTCAACTGTGTAACCCCCCCTTCTTTTCCCTAAGACTGGAACCAGACTGATTACGGTCTCCCTCCTCCGTTTGAACGCGGAGATGCAGGGAAGATCCTGCCTCTGGCTCTGCAGCACCTCACACCCACCTGGGTGGCAGTGTTAGGCATTGGTTCTGTGGCTGCAGCTGTTATGTCCTCCATGGACTCTGTGCTGCTTTCATCTGCATCTATGTTTACACAAAACATATACAAGACAACTTTGAGGAAAAAGGTGTGTGGAAGCATAGTTTGATCCGATCTTAAACAGAGATACTCAGTTTTTATTATCTGCTTGTCCTTCCTCCTCTGCAGGCCTCAGAAAGGGAACTACAGTGGGTGATTCGTATTAGTGTGCTGCTTGTGGGCCTGGCTGGAACAGGTCTGGCTTTTGAGGATAAGAGCGTGGCCACTCTCTGGATCCTAAGCGGAGATCTCCTCTACTGTGTGATTTTCCCCCAGCTGGTCTGTGTTCTGCACTTCCAACGTGCAAACACATATGGAGCTATTACTGGCTTCGTGGTGGGTTTGTTGCTCCGTGGACTGAGCGGCGAGCCCGTTCTAGGGATCCCTCCTCTGCTCCGGTACCCTGGATGGAGGGAGGAGAATAATCGGATCATACAGTACTTTCCTTACAGAACTGTAGCCATGTTGGCTTCTCTGATAAGCACTGTAATAGTATCATGGCTGCTGGACCAGATCTTTGATCGTCAACTTGTCCCTGAGTCCTGGGACCTTTTGCAGTTTTTTGAAAAGAAGAATGAGACCGAGGAGGATGACAAAGAATCTGAACCTTGTTTGGAAACAAACCAAGCTTTCAATACTAAATTTTAAGCTAAATATCATTACAACCCAAAGAGTTAAACTAATCACGCACAGTTTTTGACTAGTATTTTTTGATTAGTCAAGGCAGCTCCATTATTGGTCAGATTTTTTAAAGAAAAATTGTATTACCAATTTGAAGACTGGATGGTTCCAATTTATATTTCACAATGCATGGTAAAAGTATTCATATCTTTAATATTTTTTTCCGTAAATTAAAATCACAAACTTCAGTGTTTGATTTAGGCTTTTAAAGTAGTATATACCGGTAATTGTGAAGTAGAAAGAAATTATAGTTTTTTTTTTACTTTTATTGAAATGTAATAAAATTTCTTAAATTTTGATATGCATTTATGTTAATTTCATTCCACATTTGTCTATTTGTGTTTCCAGTTAATCTAGTTTAAGGTCGGTCAGACTTCACAGAGTCCGTCTATGAACCTGACCTGTCTTTTCTGATGTTGCTTGATTGTGCATAAAGGGCCACGGTGCTGCTGAAACATGAACCTTTTCCCAAGTCTCTTTTTGTGGCCTCGGGCAAGTTTGTACCAGATCCAATTAGGTATTTTACAGTTAGTTAATAATAACACAAATAAGATATATTAGTAAAAAAAATTATGTTTGCCAAAAAAATGACTAGCAAAGATAATAGTTAAATAAATATTTCACAACTGAAGAGGTCCCACTGACGCTTAAATCATACAAAAATATGGATATAATTTTAGAAAAACTGACTCTTTTAATTATATAATAGACAATAACAAAATTTTTTTTTTTTACATTTCTCTGTTAAATATAATAAAAAGATAACATTTCTTTTGAGGAAAAAATAGGTTACCCTGTCATTTATTCCAACAGTAATATCACACATATCACATCAGCTAAACAAGATTATTCTTTCATTTAAGGTATGCCTTATTGATATCTCAGATGTTTAATTAAATTAAATTAATTAATTTACATTAAAAACAATTTCAAGATTTAGAATTAAACTTTGACAAACCTTATTTTCATGTATAAACAGAGTTTAAATTTCGATGCATACAGCTTACAACAGTGATTAAGCAGCTTATACCAGTGAAAGGAACATTACCATTTATAAAGTGTAGCAGTGATCAAGAATGTAAACAGTGTAGGAGATTAGTTTATTACAGCCACCTTAAAAGCCTGAGGTACATACACACTTGTTTGGTAACAATTTTCTCAAGAATTTTAGATAAGAAAGTAAGATTAGATATAGCTGTATAATTGACCAAGTCATCTGGGTAAAGATATGGTTTGTTAAATAAAGCTGTACATATAAAGTTATACATACATATCCCTGTAACAGAGATAGGTCAATCACATCTAAAATTGAGTGGAAATCAGAGGGAATACCTTCTTAAATAACTTGGTTGGAACTGGATCTAACTCAAGTTTAAGGGTTAGATGAAGATAAGTTTTGCTAACTCTAAATGTTCAACTGGATCAAAGTTTAAACCCAGTTCAGATTATATAGTTACCTCAGATGCTGCCTTACCTTCCGGAGATAAACATAGTTAGAGGTGCCAATGATCTTATGTTAAATAGAATGAATCTTATTTATAAAGAATCACATAAAATCATTGCTAAGAGTAGGGGGACGGTTCAACAAAGCTAAAGCTCTGGATTAGTTTGGCTACTGTATTAAAAAGATACCTAGGATTATTCTTATTATCTATTAATGATATGTGCTGCTCTTGCTTCACGAAGAGTCATTTTATACAGATGTAAAGTTTTTTTTCCAGACTAGGTATGATTCCCTGTAGGCATATATAAAACAATTTTCTCTCCAGTTTCCTAGCATTTTACTTCAAAGTGCACAGCTCTGCATTAAACTAAGGAGCCAGCTTTCTACTTTTTGAAGTTTTCTTTTTTAAACGGGTAACATTATTTAAGACAGTACACAGGGTGGTAATAACACCATTAACAAAATCATCAATTTGTGATGGGGAATAAATTAAATGTTTGCCCTCTGCAGTATTGCTCAGTGACACAGAGGAGATAGAAACTTGAACAGATTCTTTAAAACTTATCACTGCATTATCCGGTAATGATCTGCCAAAGTCAAACCTTGTTTTGGGAGAGGAGAACTCTAAAAGCAATCTTAAAGGTTACAAAGTAGTGTTCAGGGTGGACAGGGTTGTTAGGAAATAATGCTATTTCTTTACATTCTATGTCATACAGGTTATTCTCAAAATATTGGCATATTGTGATAAAGTTCATTATTTTCCATAACGTAATGATAAAACTTGAACATTCATGTATTTTAGATTCATTGCACACAAACTGAAATATTTCAGGCCTTTTATTGTCTGTATTTAATATGGATGATTTTGGCATACAGCTCATGAAAACCCAAAATTCTTATCTCACAAAATAAGCATATTTAATCCGACCAATAAAAAAAAGTGTTCCTAATACAAAAAAAACCAACCTTCAAATAATTATGTACAGTTATGCACTCAATACTTGGTCGGGAATCTTTTTGCAGAAATGACTGCTTCAATGCGGCCTGGCATGGAGGCAATCAGCCTGTGGCACTGCTGAGGTGTTATGTAGGCCCAAGATGCTTCGATAGTGGCCTTTAGTTCATCCAGAGTGTTGGGTCTTGCGTCTGTTAACTTTCTCTTCACAATATCCCACAGATTCTCTATGGGTTTCAGGTCAAGAGAGTTGGAAGGCCAATTGAGCACAGTGATACCATGGTTAGTAAACCATTTACCAGTGGTTTTGGCAATGTGAGCAGGTGCCAGGTCATGCTGAAAAAAATTAAATCTTCATCTCTATAAAGCTTTTCAGCAGATGGAAGCATAAAGAGCTCCAAAATATCCTGATAGCTAACAGCGTTGCTGCTAGCTATCAGGCCCTTGATAAAACACAGTGGACCAACCCCAGCAGTTTCCTTCTACCGAATCTTCCTCCAGACTCTTCCAGCATATCATGACATAGGAATATTTCAGTTAGTGTGCATTATATCTAAAATATATGAATGTTCAAGTTTTATCATTACATTATGGAAAATTATGAACTTTTATCACAATATGCTAATATTATGAGAAGGACCTGTACGTCAGCTTATGCTCCAAAGTATGAAGATGTGAAAGTGTGGGACTATTCACATTTTGAACAAAGCCAATCAAGTCTAAGATAGCATTAAAGGCTGCATTTAAGCTTCACCTTCAAAAATGTTAAAATCCCCCACTATGATGAACCTGTCAGAATTCAACACCAAATCAGATAGGATCTATGAGAACTCATTTAAAAATTCAGAGTAAGGACCTGGTGGACGTTAAAAAGTAGCAATAAAAGGAGGTTTTCTTACTTTGCAATTTGCATTAGGGAAACGAAGGGTTAAATTTTCAAAACAGTTGTAATCATTAACTGGCTTTGGAGTAATCAGTAAGTCATACTGAAGGATTGTTACTACTCCTCCTCCTCCCCAGAATGTCTGGGTATGATAATATTTGAATAACTGGAAGGAACAAGTTTGTATGTATTTTTTCTATGAAAGTCCAACTTTGTATAAGAATTATTCTTAAGCACTGAGAGGGACCTACGACATCTAAAAATTTCTCTGGCAAATTAACTCACGAGAATGTACTTGTAAGTACATTGCAAACAAACTCTGTCAGTCATGTTTCTGATGAAGAAACCTGACACCCCTATTATCCTTTAAGGCTGTCTTTATATGTTAAGTAATGAAGCATGTTGTAGCTTGACAAAGTTGTGGCTTGTCAGTTATATCAGTAGAAGGATATAATTTTACTTAAATTGCCACCTATATCCTTCCACACCCTGATGACAATATGTCTTTCCCACTAAAAGAAAATGAAAAAAGTGCTGATAATTAAATGTACGTCACAACAACATCTGTGCCTGTGATTTATGTTGCTTGATGCATCCAGAATGCCATGTTACCTTCCAAAACAGATCATTATTAGCTCAGTGCAAACATGGGGTAAAATATTTATTAGTGTTAGTGTGAAGTGGAAATGATACTGCTGCTCTTTGAGGATTGCACTCTTATCTTAGAGTAGTGATGAGACATCTGGGAAAGAAACGATTAGCATGTATGGTTCTTGGACTGGAATCAAAGCCATTTTTTTTTTTTTTTAACTACGCTGATTGGTCCAGTCGGTATGCCCTTAATGAGAAGTAGAAGGAAGAAGGTGGGGGTTACGCTTGAGTTACACAAAGCAGCACAAGTTACATGTGTGAAGGGGAACTTAAGTAACAAGACAAGACAACGGTGTGACATTACACCTGAAAGGTGAGAAAATCTTTACAAAAATATAGTAAAGCTTGGATACATTTCAGTTCAATTGATTATCTAAAGGAAGTAAGTCTCAAAGACTAACATTTATAATATTACAAATTACTCTCCAAAAATAACCTGTTTAGAAAAGCCTTATATTTTACATGTGTGCTTTTTGTTTTTTTTTGTTTTTTACCAATAATTAGTGATTAGAAAGAAATTATTAAAAATCATTGCATTGTACCCATATCAAAGATTCATTTTCCAAACAGTATAAATTATATTGGATTATTCATTAAATTAAGTAAAATCTAATTCTGAGGTGCTATTTGGTTATCTAAAAAGCCTGCTTTTTACTCTGAGCACAGTCATAAGAATCAGATTTTTGAAAGGAAGGGAAATTCTCACCAGCGCCTCACCCAACATTTATTCGAGGAATTGCCAGATGCTTGTGAACATTGTGAAAACGACGCTGATGCTGATTTGTTTCCCACAGAGCTTTTGAAGAAACACATTAGAATAACTGTACTGACAAGACAATTTTGTACATTAGGTAAGATAGTAAGCCTCCAATATGTATTGAGCAAAGATATTTATAAGTTTTATAAAACTGTGGGGGGATAGTGCTAAATTTGATGAGATATGCAACTTGTACTAAACTTATGGATGAATGCAAGTTGCAAATAAACTCAAATATTGTAAATCATTCAAGCTGTTCAATGTTTTCTCTGTATGAATTCAAATCAAGTTAAGGTTTATTAACCCAAGATGTTGTCTGGGTTAGGTTAACTTTCAGTTACAAAAAAATAAGAAGTGCCTAAAGAACAAGTCAGTACGTGTTGGACTGCAGTAGACATTGCTATTCTTTATTACTTGCAGTGGTGTTACACAACTTGCAATGCTTGTACAACTTCAGTGGGCATTGTCTGTGAAAATAAATCTGAATGTCTGATGGGCAACTTGTCTTAAAGTGACACATATTTTCCCTAAATATTACACCTTTTTAGCAGTTTTTTTTTTTTTTAACATTTACCAAAAGTCTATCTACTGAGAAAGGCATTGAAAAGAGAAAGAGGGAGGGAGATGTTAATCTTCTTTTATATATCAGTCTCCTCCAAGTAAACATAAATACTTGCTTCTCATTACTTACTAAATGAAAACTACTTCAACTGAGTGTAAATGAAGAACGCCCCACTTATATTAAGTGATAACCAATTTTTTAATGAATTACATTGCCTTTTCAAACTTTTGCCACTTTTCAGGCTTCAAATAATCTTTTTAGAAGAATCAACAAATAGTGGGACTCAGTAATGAGGTTGAATGAAATGTATGTAATATTTAAATCTTTTTAGAAATTAAATACTGAAGACTGGGACGTGCAGAAATCAATCAGCCCCTTTAATTTCGGTGCAGAAAACATTCTCCAGAAGTTCAGTGAGGATCTATGAATGATCCACTGTTGAACTAAATGACTGATGATGATTATTAGAATCCACCTGTGTGTAATCAAGTCTCTGTATAAATGCACCTGCTCTGTGATAGCCTCAGAGCTCTGTTTAAATCGCAGAGAGAATAATGAAGAATAAGGAACACACTAGGGAGGTCTGTGATGCAAAAAGATTCACAAAGCTTTAAACATCCCAAGAAACACTGAGCAAGTTATAAGATTGAAGTTGAAGGAGTATTAGACCACTGCAAATCTACAAAGACCCAACTGTCCCTTTAAACTTTCTGCTCAAACAAGGAGAAGGTTGATCAGAGATGCAGCCAAAAGGCCCATGATCACTCTAGGTGAAGGTTGGAGACTCTGTCTATATGACAACAATCAGTCGTATACTGCAGAAATATGGCATTTATGGAAGAAAGCCATTTCTTAAATGATATTCATAAAAAGTCTTGTTTAAAGTTTGGTCAGATTAAACCAAAATCAAGCTTTTTGGCAACAATGCCATACAGCTCACCTTGAACACACCATCCTCAATGTCAAACATGGTTTGGCGGCATCATGATTTTGGCCTCCTTTTATACAGCAGGGACAGGAAAGATGATTAAAATTGATTGGTAGATTGATGGAGCCAAATACAGGGCCATTCTGGAAGAAAACCAGTTGGAGTCTGCAAAAGACCTGAGACTTGGGCTGATTTGTATCTTCCAGAAAGACAATGGTCCAAAACATAAAACAAAATAAAAAATTGAATGGTTCACTAATAAAAATATACAGGTGTTAGAATGGCCATGTCAAAGTCCACACCGTAATTTAATGGAGAATCTGTAGACAGAACTGAAAACTGCTGTTCACAAACGCTTTCCATCCAACTGCTCTTGCTGTTTTTTGGGGGGAGTGTGGGCAGATGTGATTGTTTTTTTGTGTGAAACTGTTATACTCATACTCAATATTAGCAACTTGCAGCTGTAATCGCAGCAAAAGGTGGCGCTACAAACTATTATCTCAATGGGGCTGAATAATTTTGCACAACCAATTGTGCAGTTTTTATTTGCTGAAGTTTAAAATGTCCAATAAATTTTGTTTCACCTTATGATTGGGTCCGACTTGTTGATTCTTCACAAATACTTACAATTTTACATCTTTATGTTTTAAGCCTTAATTGTGGCAAAAAGTAGAATAAGGGCTGAAAACTTTCGCAAGGCACTGTAAGGAGCATATCACTGTCACAAATGATGTGCAAATATAGTATGCAATTTAGATAAGGGGTCATACTTTAAGTCCAAAAGTCTACATAACCTGCTTTGTAAAGCGCAGGAGGGGGTGGGTGGTTGGGGGATCAGGTGATAGAAGTTCTACTGCCATTGTTTGCATAGGATTTTTGAGTTGTTGCTTGACTACATTGGGGCTCGTCAGTTGCTCAGTTGTGCAGTTTATAAAACCTGATTTTCCCATTGGACTTTGTATTTCAAACTTTATGAAATAACAGCTAATATTGTTATAGACTTCCAATAAACTACCTAAGCCTTTAAGCACTGGATACTGTCCAACTATGAACTAATTTGGGATTGAATTGTCCTCATCAAGTATTCAGAGGAAGCACATGTAGACCAACAGCTCATCTAGGAAAATCCAGGATTTTAAATCTAGGACATAATAAAACTGCAATAGACACAAACCCTTTTATAGATATCTTTTACAACTTAACAGTCTATCTAAGAACAGGTTGTACATGCTTGCACAAAGGCTTTACTGATCTTGGCTCCAAAGCACCTTTTCATATTTCTTTTTTTCCCATAGAGTACAGAGTACCTAAAAGGAGAATTGGAAAACGTATACTTTTCATAAAACAAGAACAAGAGTGCTGTTTAAAAAAAAG